TATTATGTACCGCAAGATAAAAAAAAAAAGGCAAAGGGGAGAAACATAGTTATTAAAAAAAAATACTCGCAACGAAATTAGTCGCAACTCCCGAATGCAACAAGAAAGATGACTCCCGCTCCGGATTCCCCCCGCTCTCTTTCCTTCGTTATTGGTTCTCAATAAACCGACTTACTAACTTGGCAAAAGTATCAAAATAAGGTAAATTTAACACAAAAAAAAAGGAGAAAAATCTCGTATTTGGCATTAGACATTATGCCTCGGCAATTCTGCGTCAAATATTTATACGAAAAAAAAAGGAGTTGCTTTACGTGTCGTTTTTAAGAAAGGGGTAACCAGCCTCTCCGCGGCAACTTAAAAACGCGGGGGCGTGGCGAGTACATGGCATCTCATTATCGCTCCCCAGCCAATCAGATTACGGCATTAAACCGACAAGTATATCGAAGAACCAATCAGGAAGCAAGAAGCGTGAAGATGATGCCCCCCCCCCCCCCCCCCCCCCCGCGTTTCTCAAGTCGCGGTCGACTATACTTTACGTTAAAGGTACAAAATAAATTAAAAAACAACATTTTTAAGAGTTGCTTGCTGCTTGCTGTTCCTAATTGTAACATCCACGCTGTTTACAAAACGTAACACACATTTTCACATTGGTTTCGTTCCCGGTATACTCTGTATGTCGGTAGACATTCCCCACAGCGAGTTGATCTCGGTCAGGCAAGTTCGGCGGAACTACAGCTCAGCGTCCCGAGCGGCGGCGTTTCTTAGCGTATCCGGCGCATGCTGCGTCTTTGATAGCGACTCCAATTGGTACAACAATGACGGGATGTTTCGCAGAAAACGAGAAGTATACGTTTTCTCTTCTTACTAAGTCGATTCCCAATCTGCAGGCCGATTCACCGTATTCTGACGTCAGTTTAGGAAGCGGCACATAGATCAGTTGCTAGAGCCATCGACAACTTCAGGAACGCCAACACCAGCCGCGCTGACTCCCATTTGCATCCGCCATAATGAATTTAATAAAATTAACGCTACAGTCGCAGTCGGTGCTTATTTCTTCACTCTAAGAAATGCCTGCGCGTCTACTTACCCGCAAAGCACTCAAAGAACCAATCTCTGCAATCTACGAAATCAGCTCAGCAAATGATGAGGCGGAACATCCGTTTAAACCGAAAAATGGTGTCTGCGGTGGCGTTACGCAATGCGAAGCGTCATGCTTGCATTGCGTAATGCCACAGCGCAGGCTTAGTTTTGAAGTCTAAACAGATGTTCCACCACACCATTTGCTGAGCTGATTTCGTAGATTGCAGAGATTGGTTCTTTGAGTGTTTTGCGGGTAAGTAGACGCGCAGGCATTTGTTAGAGTGTTGGTTTGAATGACCGTTGTTTCAAAATAAGCTAACATCTTCTTATCTTAAGAAGTTATTAATAAATTATTTATATAAAAAAAGTTAACTCTATAATGCACTTAAGACTAATGTGCTACCGACTGTGTCAGGTTTAGAAATTTTCGAAATTGTTTTAGGTGCTGAAAACTGCAACTATTTGTTTTGTATGCTTTATGTATAGTAACTCCACTCTAGCTCTTTACCCTATATAGTATGGCTTCGCCCTCATTTTATGTATCATATGCGCGCTGCTCCGCTAAGTGCTCGACAATGTTATCGTGGCGCAGCATTGAAGGAAGACGGACATTGCTTACGTTTCCCGATAGGGCAACCACGGTCACAACCTTTGTATGTACCAGGAGCGAGCGAATCAAATATCTTTCCAATCACTTAAAGAAATCTTGAGCGTCCACTTTTCTCGGAAAGCCTATCGTACAAAATACAGTCTGTGGACGCTGTCTTCTTTGTGTCCTGCAAAAACTGTCTGCAGCAGACATGTGCGAAGCCTTCGAAGATCCTTGACGCCTGTCCCTATATTATGTTTCTGTATTCATGTCAGCAGCGTATACATCGTGCCTCTCAGGTGCACTGTCTATACTTTCCCCGCAAAACGTCTAAATCTCTAAAGGCGCGCTGAATGACGAGAATTAAACGATGTATATTCCTAAAAACAAAAACAGTCCGCGCCGTAACACTGCGCACGGTGAAATGGAAAAAAAAAAACACGCCTCACACAGTGTTTTTTGTGATGTATAAGCAGGGAGACTCGGGATTTAATGTACGCATGTGCAGGAGATAAAGGTACCACCCCCCCCCCCTCCCCCAAACCTATATCTGCGCTATAAAAGATAAAAAAAAAAAAATGACCGACAGCATTTGTTAGCGCATGGCTTCGCCGCCTCTGCAGTATCAAATGTACATCAATCGTACCCATATCAGAGGTCAGTTTTGTATGTCATTGTGCGCTTTATCTGCTCGTGGAAGGGCAGGTCTAGAAGTCAATATCCGCTGATATCGGAACTCCTATACTTCGTTTAACCTTAGGTCCAGAGACAGCCGATGTACAGGAGCTGATGCGACCAATCAGCGCCATCGTTGTGTTCGTCATGTTCCTGTATGTGATATATGGTCGCATATGGTCGCAGGCCCGGTGACTTGCGCTTTTCAGGCTGCTTGATTGGTTCCATCATACCTCGAAAAACGACTTGGAGGTGAATTTTAGAGTATTTTTCTCCCTTGAATTTGAATATCGCGTTCGTTTTCCCCCGTAGATGTAACTAATCGCGAGAATGCAGGAAAAACCTCTGACCTGTCGTTACCTCATACCCGATTTTTGGGCCGCCAAGCGCGCGTCGCCCGTGTTGGCAGCGCGTGCAATTGCAAGCTTGCCAGGTATATTCACCCGCACTGACACCAGTCGTGACATCTCGTTTTGACCTTTTCTTTAAAAATATAGCAAGAGTGCGGGTGCATAGTTTTGATAGAAACTGAAGATACGCGAGAGCGGAGATTCCTAAAACTCTGGGTATGGCGTCACGCTCCGGGAAGGAGGGACTTCACCGGTACTTTGAAAATTATTTTCTGCAGCCTTTGTGCACCAAATTGAAAAATTGTTTTGTTATTCATGATCCTGGAGGCCGAATGAAAACGATTTGAGTCTTTTTTTTTTTCTCAGATACAAAACCAATTCTGTTTCTCTGTAAGCTGAAAGCAAGCATCACTTTATTATTTTGGCAGTAATTTTATATTTGTCACATAAAAAAAAAAAAAACCTTTTATGCAGTACTCATGCGCAAAGTATTTATTTACAAAATTCGGTCGTTGAAGAAAGAGACGATCTTTTAGCGTTTAAAACGTGTACACCCTGATAAAATAACTTAAATGTAGCCTAAGGAGCACCAACATATATCTTAGTTCGACACACGAAGGGGGGAAATTAGCGTCCCGAGAGGTAGTATTTTTTTCTTTACTATGGTTTTTTTGGTGAATGCGAGTATAGTTTATGAGAAAATTGACTTCCGAGGGTGATCACTGCTGTTTAAGATTAACCATTTTCAGTCACCATTTAATATATCGCTAAAACGTTAGGCACTTTTATCGCGATGCTTGTGCAACATTTAACATCACACGTATCGTGTGATGTCAAATGTTTCGTTGAAACAATCGCTTTTGTTTACACATATATAAACGTTCAGTAACATTTCGCGCAATGTAAACTTGTGCGACCTTGAAACTCCGAGACGTACCAGTGCCACAAACAATAAACACTGCGCGGTATTAAAAATAGCGCTTAACCCAAACTCACAAGAAGGTGTTCTTTTTTTTTTTTTTTTTTTTTAGGTCTTGAGACGATGTCAACTTTATATAGGAACACATATAGGGCAGCGGGGTGTTTTAATTATGTAGTCGTAGACTGTAGAATCGAAAACAAATATGAAAGGTATCACGCGTCTGTCACTGAATTTTTACAGGCGAGCTATTCATTCATGTATTTTTTAGATTAAATGTTTTTAATATGTGTCAAACACTTTAAAAATATGATTGTATATTACGCCAGATATCGCGTACGTCCATCTAACATTAAGAACGGATGCTACAACAACAAAACAAACGGTTTGATATCACTACCATTGAACACCACTTCATAAAGTCAGTAGAACAAAACACACACACAAAAAAAAAACTATTGGAAGTACCGGGTTGTCTAGTTCAGTTTAACACTGAAAACGTTTACACCGGGGTAAAGCTTATGCCACGGCTAACACCGGATGCTGGCGAACACCCTGAAATGGAATTCTGGCCATCTTAGCTCACTTGTTGGATTTTTTTTTTTTTTTTCACGAGCAACGATGTTTTATGGAACACCGCTCTACGTCACAATTGAAAACGGTGCATAACTCAAAATAAGGGTGTTGCAGTGGTGTAGCCCGTGAGTGTAATTCTTGAAAAACACCTTCGGGCTGTAAAATTTTTTAGTGTGTGTGCTGAAAAGGAAGTGTTCGATATATCGCGACGGAGCTCATTGGTGCGATAAACATCGACTATCAAGCAACAACTGCGACTTCAGTTTTTCTTTCTGAGAATTATGCAGCAGACGAATAAAACCAACCGCAATTAAGAACGAAACGAGGAAACGCGGCGCAGCTGCGAAGCGTTCTCTGTTCGCGTGTTTCCGGCTCAACAGGTAACAGGAGTTACCGCAAGCGCACGCACAACACGCGCGCCGCCGTGTATTGCAAAAACCTGTCTCGTTTAAACCACGGCAAGCGGTAGTCGTTGAAAGCGCCGCAAATTAACGTCATGAACGAGCGAAACACGCCGACGCTATTGCGCGAAAAACAAACAAACACACACGTAAATACGAGGATTATATCGAAGTGATGTTGATCATCAATGCACGTCCGACAAGACCAAGTTGAATTGCGAACGCGATCCAATCTACGGTTAGCGTAACTCCGTTTCAGATTAGGTCCGAAACGAAGACAACTTTTACAATCCGACAGACCCAAAGCAAGCGGCGTCCGAAGTGCCTCGTCGCCGCGCGTCTTGTTTGCGCGTTTGCTATAATCGGCGTTCGGGCAATCAAAAGATATGAGAGCAAGAAAGAGTTCTGACCTGTCGGAAGAAAGTAGGTTCGCCGTGGTCGCACCGACGACTGCTTGTAAAGTCTCCGTGCCTCGCGAAAGAAAAAAATCACTAACTTGGAAATGATGCCGTGATGCAGAAGAAAAAAAACCTCCACAGGCCGGGAACGCCGCCGCCGAAAACACACACACCGAGAGACAGGAGTAGAAGAAGGCACACTAAATCAGGTCAAGTCAATTCGAGCATCCAGTCGACTTCTTTTGTGTCACGCCGTTTCTGCTTTGTTTTTCTCCTTTTTTCTTTCCTCCTCGGTAATCCGTCAAATCGACACAACCAGCGACGCGATACGACCGGCGAAGAACCAACGGCGCCGCAGCATTAAAAACTGAACGGGCTCTGTTCCATTCGCTAGACGAGAGAAGTCGCTTACTGCGGGTTATCATTTTTATTTTTCTCTCTCTTCGTCTCGTCTCGCCTCCTCTCCTTCCTTCCTGCCTTCTTTCCCTTCCTCTCGCTTGACATCCCCTCCGCTCCAACTCGCGCGGAGCACGACGGGAAGTAACAGAGCCGACCCGGCGAGGAAGACACCCTATTAAAATAGGGGCTCTCGTTTTAAGGAAAAAAAAAAACAACCAGCAACCGCATAACCCAAACGAGAAAAAAACAACAAAAAAACTAATGGGTCATGTGTTGAATCTCCCCCCCCCCCTTTTTTTTTTCCATTTCATTCTAGACATGAACCGCCCATTATTATTATATATATTTTTCCTTTGGTCGCGGTTGATTTTTTTTTTTTGTTTTTGTTTCTTTTTTTGACGTTTATTCAAAGCAGGGTACAAGAGTGCCTTCTTCATTGCACCCCCCCCCCCCTTTATTTTTTCTTCTATCATTTTATATATTTTGTATTTGTTGCTTTACTTTTCCACGCCCTGGTATATAATATCACTTTCACTCTACCGCCGTCGCCCACCGCGAGCGTCCCGCCATCTGTTGGAGTCGAGAGTAATCAACGTCAACGGGGAGTAGGTGGGCCTGTCTGGCATAACACGAAACCTAGCTTTGGAAAGCACTCGATTGACAGCGAGATGGGTCCACTCGTCCCAAAACAAGAAGCTAAACCCGCTTTAAGCCAAAAATATGCTGAATATGCATTAGAGAACGAGAGGTTTATTATTTTATTATTAAAAATGTCGGAGCTATGGAAGAAAAACAGTCGAAGACCGGCACGCATTTTCGCAGTCGAGCAGACGACGGCGCAGGCCAAGGTCGCGAGCTGTCGATCCATAAGACAATCGGCTGAATCAATCAAAGTCGAGACTTTGCCAGGATTGATCGCCGAAGCCCAAAACGTACGCAACGTTAGGGGGGAAAGGGCGGGGGGCACATAGTCGACGACCTAGCGCTGGCAGATTGCCGCCGGCTGTAGTTTTTTTCTATAGTCGCCGCCATCTTGAATTGTAGAACTTCCGTTATGGTGAGAAACGTTGCTTTTTACCCGCGTCAGGCAACTCTAAGGTTACGTTTTTATCGCATCTGTCAGTCTTTTTTTTTTCCTCTTTTATACTTTTTTGCTCGTTCCAGGTCGTAATGATTTGCTTTTCTCTTTTTTTCGTTCCACCTTACAGGATATGTGAACTATCTGGCTGAGGACAAGCGTTTCGAAAGCCGCGCGCTGGCAGGACCAGTGAGTCGCCGTTTATGCGCAACGTGACTGGGGACCCATAGCGTATGCGTCGATCAAAACGTCAAGTCCCATGACGCAGACTTGACTAGTGATTGGTTCAACGGATGTGTAGCTTCCGCGGTGCTGTTAACTTGAAGATGAGAGGTACATTGAGGGCTTCCAACGATCCCCTGGAATTTGAATAAAACAATTGTTTATTGATCTTTCTTTTTTTGGCTCTCCGGCTATTTACATACGAATGTACGTATAGTACAGTGTCGCGCGGTTTGCACTTGGGCGACCGTTGGAAGCTTGCACGCACTGTCTAGGAAATAAACAATATACGTGACATCCTGGCAATGATGGAGTAAGTATTGAATCTCCGGAAATAATGTATATATATATATATATATATATATATATATATATATATATGGCTGGATAACATTCGGACACTGAAGATACGTCGATGGACATTAAATCAAGTACAGCCGTTTTTATGTAAAAAAAAGTCAATAATATTAGGGGGTTTATATATCCCTCCTCAAGTTTGGAGCAAATATTTGTACTTGCATAAATCTGTTGATAAAACAAGCATAACTGCCCAATTAACAAAAAATCAGTGCATCACACGTTCGTTATTTTTTATTTCTGGCTATTTAGTTCGTTTCCTCCCGCGCAGAATTTACCTGCTATTACTCTAGACGAAAACCCAAAATTGTGAGGTACCAGCTTACTAAAAAAAAAGCTCTCAAGCCATAATATCTTGAGTTTGCCTTGAGTTTGTATGTATACATTTTCTATGAAAGGGGACAGGGGCTTTTTGCAGTTGTTATATTACCGGGCACCACAGAATATATATAACCTCACAAGTGGGCGAAGTAGTTACTGAAGCGTAAACAAATTAATTTTAAAGACCAGTTATGTCTATGCAGAAACGCCTCGCTCTTCGCGAAGTGGGATCCTGCGCACATACGGTGCTATCAACTTCTCTGAGCGAAGCCTAGCTCTGAGGCATCGCTGCCGGTACTCATCGCACGCCGTTAAAAGCAGTACGCGGTTGACAACCCTAGCTCGTCTTACTCTTAGGGATTATCATACAGGTTATTTTTTTTTTTAAGCATTACAGATTTGGTTTAAAAAAGTTGTGAAAGCTGCACTCAATCCGGTTTGTACTGGTGAATGGTACAGTCAGGGGGACATAATATAGGGGGCTAATTGTAACGACCAGTCTGCTAATTAAGTAAAATTTGTTAGTTAACTTTTTAATTACGAAAAATAGACATGATTCCAATTACAAACTTGCTGGGCATCATTGAAAACCACTATATCAGTAATTTTCAGAAAGACTCCGAGGGCATGAGAAGCGCAGAAATTCGCTAAACTTACCACTGGTTCAGCGGCAGCAAGGCTAGCGGTGCGGTAAGGCGCCCGTGCGATTTTTCCGTGTTTTATCATAGCCCTGTGCTTGCTGCACGAGTGGTATACATTTAGCGTACTACTGCGCTTCTCACGCGCCCGAAGTATTGATAAAATTTATTGATTTAGAGGTCTTGAATGATGCTCAGCAAAGTTCTAATTGGAACCATATGTATATTCTCACTAATTAAAAAGTTGACTAATTTTACTTAATTAGCCGACTGACCTTCATGATTAGCCTCCTGTCCTCTTGACCGTAGACTAACCTGCACAAACCGCATGCGCTCAGCTTTCACGGGTTTTCTTTTTAAACAAATCTGTAAAACTTAAAAAAAAAAAAAACGTTCAGCCTTTTTACTTTGGTGAAGAAGGAAGACCAGCGGAGCTGTACAATGGAAAGTAATGGCCGGCCGCAAGTCGGAAAGCCAGAGTGGAAAGGCTGCCGCCATCTATGAGCGGCGGCGGCAACCAGATGCTTAACGAGAAAAGAGTCAAAGTACAGGCTAGCTGGTGGAAGTCAACCATTTCGTCGTTTACCCTGAGACTGGTTTTTTTTTTGAAGAGCAGAAGTAACAGAAAAAACAGACAGGATGCTTGCTTCCGTCGCTCATAGATGGCGGTAAGTGTCCAGAGTTCGGTGTCGATATTTCTTCTCGGGGGACATGATCCTGGGGATACTAGCCCTTAACAGCTGCGCTGTAAAAACTTTGTAGATTGTAGTCCGTTGAAACATAAGATCCGCAGTAGAAGCTTCGCCCACAAGAAGCAAAGTTCCGCCGGCGCAGAAGTGAGCTGGTGAGCAAGGGATCACGTCCTGGTAAACTGTTCAGTGCCGGGTCCAAAGGACCACTGGTGTGGCAGCTTGTTTCTTTTAGACAGTTGAATGGTATTGATCAAATTAGACATCCAAAATAATAATCACACTAACGGCAGCGAGGGGGGGGGGGGAGGGGGGTACGAGAGGGGGATGGAGCGACAGCGCGTCTATCCATAGATGACGTGTTGTTGCGACGATCGACAGCGATAGAGAGGTAGTGATAGTGCGGCGGCGCTATCACTCTTTCCGGGGGATCACGTGAGTTCTTACGTACGCACGCCGCTAGATTTCGCCGGAAAGGGGTACTAACAGCTCACGCTGTCCCATGAATAAGAAAGAGGGGCAGCAGAACATTGTGTTGATAGATGAGGATGAATGAAAGGGACTGGATTGGTGTTGAAGAGAGCAACGACGGCGACGTTAGCCTGGGTCCTATACGGCTTCACTACTCTAGAGTCGGGGAAAGAGGAGAACTTAAAATATAGTGATGCGAGAAAACAATAAAACGATAGTGATAGCGATAAAACACACGGTGAGGTTGCTGCATCAATACTCACTTCAAAACACGCGCGCGTAAAAATGATGATTGAATTTCCAAAGAAGCAGATACTTTTGTATGGTACTCACTACACGTAACCAAATTTCATATAATCGATTACGTTTTGTATTAATTTTGTAACCATTCGATTACTTTCTAGAAAGTAATCGCAGGAGTACTGTGATTACGTTTGGAAGTACTAAAGTATTCGTAACTTATTCACCCCTCCCCTTCCCAATGGCGCCCTTTCTTTCTTCGAATTTCCTACCAAAGTATCCTCGGAATTAGGTCTCTGAAAAAAGGATGGTCTACAAAAATGATATATTGAATAGATGTGTAGCTTGTAATAATCTATACCTGTTTTCACCTGAAGAACCATAGGAAAAAAAAGTCCGGCTTCTCGCGGATGATTACTAATTTTCACCTTTAGGTGAAGAATTAAGATATATTTATTAGAATTTTAGAGTGGATACACGTTATCTTATCAAGGAGTACACGTTCCAAACGCCAAAAGCATCGCCTGTGCCTCCGACAGCCAAATCTGGCGAGAACTATTTCGCGCGGCGTATGAACAATGCGCAAAACTTACTGTTTTCTTGAGGTGAAAACGGGTATAGGGGATTCTAAATCAATAAGGAACAGTACAAAAGGCCCGTTTTCAAAAGAAAAATTTGTCGTTTTGAAAATCTCAATTAATCGGAAAGTTCATGGTCACTTATTCGAGCTATACGGCCAATCACTTTTTTTCTGTCAAGTAGTCAAGTAATCTAATTAAATGCTTTTTTAACCAATAGAAATTGTGATTATAATCGATTGCGTTTTCCAATTGAGGTGCGCAAGACTCGTTGATAGTCCGGTGCTATTGTCGAAGATATGCTGGGATTTCAGTGGAAGCAGCGTTTCAAGCACGCACTCGTTGCCTCCGTCGGGCCATATAGCCTCCTCTATACTCACAAAACCTGGCAGTTCCACGACGGAGCCATAGAGTGCACGGTCTGAGATTTGGAGCGCGAGGGTCTGGTAGCACAGAGCATCATCAAAGAGCCATTTCTCGGGGAACCTGGACGTCAGCGCACAGCTTTTGCAGCGGCGAGGACCCGAAACACACGAGTTCGCTCGGGAGAAGTGTGTTTCGGCGTCTAGCCGCAG